TACTACTCTCTCTCTCTCTCTCTCTCCTCCTCCTCCTCTCCTCCTCCTCCTCTCTCTCTCTCTCTCTCTCTCTCCTCCTCTCTCTCTCTCGTCATATTATTAACCACGGAATGAAAGTAATAAAATTGGACGGGCGAAATGTTTTCGTTGAAACGCACGCCTGTGAAAAGTCGGTGCATAAGCGTTTCGAAAAAAAGAAAAGAAAAAAAGAAAAAAAAGAAAAGTCGAGGATATAATGATATTAATTAATACTCGATTTGCATAGATTTTTGCATAGATAATTGGATTTAACATTCTATTAAGCACTCGCTTACATATCGTGATGTTTATTTATGGAAACGAGGAAGACTTTTCCATCACGTTCGATCATCATCCATTTTTCTTCTAATTTCTTTAATATATATATATATATCGAATCTTTATATTTAATTAATATTCATTTTGCTTTCGCAAATGTATCATTTTTGTTTCCAATTTAAAAAAAAAAAAAAATTGAATTCTTTTCTTCTATTTCTTTTCTCTTTACTTAAATTTTTAAGTAAAGCCATCGAAAGGCAGTTGTTCGTGTATTCGCATTCGACAATATTCTCACCCTTTGTGTTTCTCGATAAACGACACGCATCCAATTAAGCCAAGCGGAAATCTTATTGCGCCTTTTATTATATGCACGCGACGCTAATCGTTTGATTCGAGGCGTTGATTACCGCCTCGGATTTAATTACAACCCCCCCCTCCCCCGCCTAATTAGAGATTCGAGAGGGTCGAATTAAAAGCACGCCAGCTGGTCGCGTGCATTTTGTTGCATTGTTGTTTCCACGCTCGAGCGTCGCGATATTTCTTTTTCCAGCATAAAAATACTTGTCGCGATACTTGGAGCGAAGGGAAACGAGATTTACGAGCCGCGTGAATCACTCTGAGATATATACTGGTTACTAGACTAGGGATATTTATGCATCTAGGAGAAATTCAACACCAGAATCGCCAAATTTTTTATTCCTCCATTACCTGTCTGTATTTATTCATTTTTGCACCGTTCCGTGCAATTAATATTTACGGAATTATAAATTTTAAATTTACAGATGTGCTACTATCTATCGAGGAAATAACAATAAAATTGGTAAAAATATCGATTCAATCAATTTAGGACAATTATCTGCTTTGTAATCGATGTGTAAATGGAAGAGATGGTAACAAAAATTAAGATTATCAATATTTATCATCGTGTCTCGAGTATCCATAAAAAAAAGAAAAAAAAAAAAGGAAAGAAAAAAGAAAAAATGTGATTCTCGGTTCGATTTCATCGCATCTTCGACCGACTCCATTGTCTCTCCATTGGGACGTGGCTCGATTGAAAATCATCGAGACACATACACGCGGAAATTCGGGAAGGAAGGGCGGAAAAGAATGGTCGGAAGTCCGTATCCGTTTGTGTGCGAACAAATTACATTCGTGTCACGCGCTTTTGTCTCGTCAAATCGAGAGAGGGTATATACAAGATGCGTACAACCATGCTTCGACATCTTTTCGATGCTGGTCAAATTCGACGTGTTTTCTTTCTTTTTTTTTTCTTCTTTTTTTTTTTCAAAGGAGACAATCGTCTGTATCCTCGTTTATTCTTTTTTTTTTTATTTCAACAATTTTCGACACAGGTCGCGCAAAAATGGAAATTTAGATATTCTAAAAATTTCCTAGATTTTTCCTAGGAATTATTTATTGCATTATGGTAAAGTAGATTTCGATAAACTGTGAAAATAGTTTCTGTTTTGCGTAATCCATCTGTTTAACAATTCGAATTTCAAAAAAAAACTTGTAAAAAAAACCGCAAAATTTTATTGCAACGAAACCAAAGTTGGGCATTAAACCCGTTGAAAAGATAAGATAACCAGTTAAAAATTTCGAATATTGAAATAACTTATCGAAGTGATTTTATTTATAACTTTAGCCGATATAAATTTTGCCCCTTACTGTGAACGAAACTACTGTTGACCTCGAATTTATGTTCGTTCCTATTTCTTAAAATAATAATAAAAGATAAATAATATAATAGCGTCACACGACATTGCATTACGTGCATAATATACAAAAATAAAAATATATGATAAGATTAAATTTCCTTATTTTGAACACTAAAAATATAGAATAGTGGATGTAAAAAATCGTTTAAAAAATTTAGTAGATTATTTCAAAATTATATTCTATATCTTTATTTATATTATCGCGAAAAGTATGTAAATCAAATATTTCTAAACAAGTTCGTATCGATAAAATAGGAATTGAAAATCTTCTCAAGCGGATATAAAAATTTAACATCAAGTATCGATTCCAGCGGGAAATGAAATATAATGCGCATTCGTAGTTTGATATAAAAATTCATATATATATATATCTGTGTACATATATAATAAAGAGAGATAGAATTAAAAGCGTGGAATGAGACGGTAACGTGAACGAATACGTGGGAGAAAATCATTATATCCATTTGACGTTATTACCGCGTTCGTTCGAACCATTCAGAAGGGATATCTGCTCGTTATTCGTAATGCGAGTAGCCGGCTGGGCTATATAAGTACGGCAATTTTCAACGTGTCGCGTTTTCCCAAAATAATACGCAACCTCCGCCTCCAAAATTCGATCAAGATTTTTCGGCGACAATCGGCGCAAATTTAGCTCACAATTTAGTATTTTGCCTCGTTAACAGTGGAAAAAAAAGGAACACTGTGGCAACCCGGTTCAAATTGACGCAATTAGAGGGGCTATGATATTTTTAACGTTTTTCTTTCTCTTTTTCTTTTTCTTTTCTTTTTTTCTTTCAACTTGTTTCTTCTCTATTTCGTTCGAAATTTTTGCCTCTTAATGATTAAACGCGATACTTATTCCCTTTACAACTCGTTCGAAAATTCTCTCTTAAAAATTGAAACGTCATTGAATTTTTTTTTTTTTATATAAAACTCGTGATAATTCGACGAACTTTTAAAAAAAAAGTATTTCAATTTTTCCCTTCGTTTCCCCCTATTTTTGTTTGTAAAAATTTCGATATATTTCTTGTATTTAAAATCTTTAAAAATCTTTTACGATATATCTATTTTCTTTACAACTCTGAGAATCGAGCGAAAGAAAATTCTCCATAAGATGATGAAACAATAGAGAAAAGAAAAAAAATGCAAAACTTTCGTAAAACAAACTGCGTGCATTTCTCTCTCTCTCTCTCTCTCTCTCATCCGTATCGGATATTTTTAAGTAAGGAACCTCGCGATTGCACGACACGTGTAAGCTTCTGTTTCCAATCCGAACTGCATAACTGCTTTATGGAATACTTTGAGCGGTACGAGTGTCGTGACGACTTGAATCGAGGAATTTTCATTTTACGAACAATCATAATTTTAATAGATTAGAGATGTAACTGGAATAATGGAATGAAATTCAATTGCATGCGAGTTGCAACGACGGTTTTGTTTCTATTTCAATTCAATTCGAACTCGCGCAACTTGAGATTACATTTATCTTTGACTCGATTTGAAATATCGTTTTGGGATATCATCTTTTTCGAATTTTCCTCGATCTAACCTAATGAATTTCAAGTGGACGATGAATTTAGAAATTTATGAGAATTATGTAACGAACTGGTAGAGCTCATATATACTTCATAAAGTAGTAGATACATTAATCGAAAATATGAATTGAAGTAACTCGGTTCGTGTAAAACGAGATTTTACTCACGTCTGATGTATTGTCTGTTTCTACTTATTTTCCATCGTACTCTAATTCTTTTTATATTGGCGATTAAAGTGTATTTTTTGATATTCATCTCAATCTCTTTTCTGTAATTTTATTTTTTATTAATGTAATGTTGATTCAAAGATTTTACGAGTTATATAATTAATGAAGCGGAAGAAAATCTAAAAATTGAGAAATATTTATAACGGATTTTGCGGTAATGGATTCGTTTTATCGTAGCAAGTTATGCATTCCTCTACTGCAGTGCGAAAAATTTTCGCTAAGACTGCGAACTTCTAACGTTTCTTCCTGTAGTGGAATTTTATTATTTCGCTTTTCAAAGAGCTACTTTATCATTCTTCCCTCAAAATCGCTTATAACTTGAAAGATAAATTTCAACGAACATTTTTGCATTTTTAGTTCGTAAAAGTATTTCTTTTTCCTTTTATATATTGTTATATTATATTATATTTAGAAAGAAAAATTTCGTAAAAAACTATCTAAATTATAGAAAAAAATCAATCATATTAAATTTATTTGAAACTAAAGATTAATAACGAAAATATTAGATTATCTTTTTTTTTTATTTTCTTTATCCAAAATAATTATCAATGTCAATAAACATTTATTACTTTTTTTATAATTATTTACGCGAAAAATATTCTTTATTCCATGCAAAAACATGCTTGCTGCAAACTTATCCAAATTTAACGTATACATTATCATCGACATATGGAACGACGTATTCACAAAATTTCGAGATAATTTAAACTATATCCAGAATCCTCGAAATTAACTTTGAATATTTAAGAACCCATCCGTTCGTCAAAGCGTTCGTAAAAGCGATGTAAAATTACGAGTAATTCGTTCATTACTTGGATATTGGAGCCGTGTTAAATGTAACTGGGATCGGTATATCGTGATGAATACGTTTCCCTGGTGTAAAACCGAGCCAGACAGTGGGCTGGTTGGAGGAGGGAGGTTAGCATTGGAACGTGGCTTCCACGAGTTTCAGTCTGGAGCTCTCCTCCCTTTCGCTCCTTTCTCCCTTCCCCAGGATATTCGGGTTGGGGAGGGAGAACGACGGCAACGTTGCGAAGGTCACCTTCCTCTACCACCCTCACGCACCCTAACGAAGGGTGGTCATGGTCGAGCGCGATTCATGGGAGATAGAGAGGGGTGATGCATGGTAGAAGGGTGGATAGGATGAAAAGGATGCGCGAAAGGCGTGTCCTGCGGTTTCACACACCGCCAGAACGAGCTACAAGTGTACGTATAATTTTATAGCGACGAGAGATTATTATTTCATTTCACTGTGGCGAACGGAAAAATGTGGAAATATTAGATTAGAAATTGGATTTATTATTGGTTTGGATATTTACATTGTAATTATTTATTTACAATTTTTTTTACTTATCCCGATAAAAAATTATGTTTTTGAATATAGTATATAGAAAAAGAAAAAAAGAATTTGTTTTTTACAGTTTTCCTATTGATATCTCAATAATGTGATTGTGACGCGATTAAAAAGATACGTTATTGATGTTACCGGTTAGCTCGAGAAAGGATAGAAAAGGTTCCTTTTGAAAAAATATTCAAGCAATTCGTAAAATTGCAGATCTTTCAAAGATCGTATGAAACCACTATTCGGTATCAATTCAAAGATGTTTCTTTTGAAGAAGCATTTCAACTTACACGTGAAAGCTTATTGATTATTTCTATCGTAGAAATAAAAAGGAATGAATATCTGAATATTTATACTTTATTTAATTATTGAACTAAGAAATATAGAGTTCAATTGTTATTAATAACACGATTAAACTTTTGAAACTTCCGGTGTTATAGATGGCACTGTTTCCTAGGTCAGTTTTTTCTCTATCATTCCCCCAGTCTCGTACTCGAGTAACACAAATAGTTTCTGCGAAACTACACGGATATTCTAGAAACAAATTAATGGATCCAACTGTCGTAGCCAAAAACCAAATTCTAAATCCGTATCGTGGATCGCCCACAACCTCCGCGATGCGTGGCCGACAAATGAATCTACCAAAAATAATATTCCACGAAGTCAACGAAGATTCGTTTAATTTGCTTGTTTACCGTCTGTAAAATCACGAGAGAAAATTGCAACTTAAAAAGAAACCTCGCCTTAAATAGACCTCGTTCCCGTGCATCAATCGTGGAAACCCGTTGGTTTAATTTCGATTCCAACAGCGAAGCCCGCCAAATCTTCGAAAGCTTTGCGAACGAAACAGCGCACCTGGTGGCGAGCGACGTCTAATTTTACAAAAACGCTGATGCACGCAACGCGCGCACATTCGCGAAGAAAAACCACGCCCGAAAACGTTCGAAAAGGAAGAGAGGGAAAGATACCTAGGTGGACGTGGCTAAGGAAGAAACGGTGGATTCGCGAGCGACGTTAGAGAATATAAAAAAGAGCAATCGAAAAGAACGAGGAGGCGCTCGATTAAGAAATAATGAAACAAAATGACAGTGTGTGCTGGTCGCGATGGAACGAACAGTTGAACAGCGAAGGGGGGAGAAGTAACTTGAAAGAAAGAGAGGAGGACAAAGTCTGGTCGATTGGATACGTGTGTATGCGCGCGTGTGTTCGCCGGGAGGAAAGAGGGGCCGCGATGATTTACGATTCTCGGTTGGGTAAGAGAGACGGGAACGATCAGACGATTTGAATGGAACAGAGACGGAACGAACGTGGAAGCGGTAACGGCGAGGAGACGTATAAAGTTGTGTGCGGAATGGAAAACGAAGAGACGACGAGTAAAGTGGAGAAGGATGAGCGTATGGATTGGTGGAGAGATAAAAAGAGAAAAGAGAGAAAGAGAGAATGAGAGGGAGAAGCACGGCAAAAGGGATTCGGTTTCGTAGGACGGGGAAGTAGTTTCGCGACGATGGAGGGGAAGCATTGGCGGAACGAGCGGGGGAGGCGGGATGCGACGATCGGTGAGGGTTTTGCTCGGCGAATCGGGGAGGGGCTGGGGGGAGGGGGCGAGCAGAGGAAGCAGAAAGAGAGAATTCGGGGCTGTTGACCGGGGCTTCGAATTCGAAAGGCTCACGCAGGCTCGCAGTGAGGCAGGACGCGGATCGCGACGGTGCCGACACAACGTCGACGAGGACGACGAAAACGGCTACAACGCAGTCGCCGACACCGCCCGAATTTCACGATGCCTCGATGCGAAGCTGACTCGACTGCACTCTGTACGCCTGTGTGCGTTGTGTACGTGTGTTCCGCGTTGGACGATTGTCCGCCGCTTCGCTTTAACGGCTGGTAAATGTTTCGTATATTATCTTTTTGAAAATATGCTCGAAACATTTATGCTCGAATCATGACGATCATTGAGATTTTATAAATAAGTTTTTTATTTTTATTTTTAAAGGCTTAGAAAGTTATAAAATAGGAAATATTTCTTTCTTATTCAGGAATATGTTGAACAATTTCAAAATTACTCGAGATTTTGAGATAAGTTTTGCACGATCGAATGAAACGAATGTTATCGAATCAAACCTTGAAGAATAAAAAAATAACAGTTAACGTTTTAATTGCTACAATGCAATTATTAATCTATGATGCTACCGAATCAAACCTTGAATAATATCCAAGTATTATGATTGTGAATTGTATAACAATCTTGTATAACATTCGCAAATTTATCGCAATTTATTTATTTATTTTTTTTTTATCTATTCTCGAGGTTGAAATAAATCGCACGAAATAACAAAGTAACAAAAATCCAGTTATGCAGTATCGCGAGCAATTCTTATCTCAAGAGCAGCCTTATCTCCGAAGTTATCGCAGTTTATTTTCACTTTTACATCGACGAGAAATAATTGAAAAGCATTGCTATAAACACCTTCGAAGTATTTTCAAATAATTTTTAATTTTTATCTAGATATTATTCTTTAGCTACGGAATATTAATAATGATCTATTTTGCAGATATAATAATTAAAATCTTATATATTTCCAATAAATCCAATTTCAAAGATTTTATCACTTTCTTCACTAACTAATCCATTTTATCAAACTACGTTACGAATCTCATCAAAACCTTTATTGAACGTAATATATACAATAATCTTGGTCAATGGATTTTATCATCTTTTTCTTCAGATTGTTGGCGAAAAGTTTCTGACACTTGATATATTCTCTTTTGTGTTTTATAGAATCGGAGGAATTTATCGTGAACGTTAACCAAATTCTCGAAAAAATAATATTCTATTTGAATAGTAAAAAAAAAAAACTAAGAACATATTGCACGTACTATTTGTCACAGTCTTTACAAAGAAAAAAACACAAAAAATGTTTTCCTTTCTTAGAAAGAGAGAAGAAAAAAATTCTCGAAAAATTCTCAAAAAAGAAAATCCCCTGCGAATAATCATGGAATATCCAATCGAAATTTTCCAGAAATTATCTTCCCAATCTTCAACACCACCCAATTACAATTACAATTATCTATCCGCACATTTCAACGAAATGAAATTTTTTCGTCGAATCATTCCGCGTGCGATGAAAAAGGGGGGAAAAAAGAGATCGCGTGCAACGCGTTTCGTGATTGTGTTGTCCCATCCCAGGTTGACCTTGAACGCGTACGAGGAGAGTCGCGGGAGGGTTGTGGACACCTCTCCTCTCGTCATCTCTCGGAGCGTAGACCGGGAGAGTATCGATCGGTGAACGAACGCAGTCCTTTCCCACTCGCGAGGGCCCGCGCTCCGACAACAACCAACCCCTTCCCCGTAGGCGGGTCGAAAGTCTGGAGGCCTTGACGTCCAGACGGGGTGAGGAAGAACGGGGAGGGTCATGGATTTCGCGCGAGAGAACGAATGCGAAAACCGAGGAGGAGAGAAAGCGAGAGTAAAGGGGATTGAGCGGATCGCTCGCTCCGATAAAGCCTTAGCCCCCTCCCCGACTTCTAAATAAAAAACAGTGGCGATGATGTAGCAGCCCGATAAACCTTACCTCTATCCGCTCGTGGTGGGATCGCTTCCAATTTCCAATGGGTCGAAGGGATAATTTTATAGGTGTGATTCTTGCATGGACTGGCGTGGCTGTCATTTCGGAGTGTAGTACACTCGACGAGAGTGATATAAAAAAAGAGCGGCAATATGGTTCGATGAAGCGCTTCGATCTTCGATGGATCGAGAGATAAATGCATGTATAATTCTCGTGGATGTTCATTTCGAAGTACGCTCGAATATGTCTTTCTCTATCTTTTCTGTCTATATAGATATGGAAGGAAAACAAAGAACATCAAGTGGATGTGCTTGCGCAATATCGGATTGCACGCTAATAGAATTTGTTTTAATTCTTGTTGTTTATCTTGAGGTTTTTTTAAAGACTCGAATCGAATTGTTTAGAATCAAGATTGTTCTTTGAATCGATTTATACAGTCAGAGAGAGTTCCATGAGTCAGAGAGAGAATTCATAATCAGAATAATATAATAAAGTTCATAGTTACGATTCATGGCAGGTTAACGCACAGTCAACAAATACAGAGAAGAAGAAATCGTCGTTAAGAAAAATCAAAAGTGGTTGCGATCTTTCGACGATGGCTTCAATCGAAGATACTATAGTAAATTCAACTTATAATATGAATAGAAGGACGCAACGATTTCTTAACATTTTTTAATTTCACGGCAATTCGAAGAAGCTATTACCTTATCCTTTTTCTAATCGCTTCCTTATGCATGCCACGTCTTCTCAACCGTAAAAATACGTCGAAACGTGTTAAGTCCAGTCAAAATTACAAAACAGAAGGATTCATCGTAATCGATCACCGGGACTGGAAACCGAGCACTCTGGAATTCGAGTGATTTCTTGTCGAAGACTGCATTGTTTTCATGCTCGTCACTCCAAACATCATCGCTATAAACGGCGTCGTAACGTATGTGCAGACACTGACGCGACCAATGCCGTTTTTTTAGATAACGATTAAATATTTTCGACCTTGAACCTTTGGTTCTCACTCGAAACTTTTGCACATTTCGTTTCCCTTTTTTTCGGGTGTCAAGCTGAGCAACCAATGTTCTCGAGCTTCGCTATATTTTCCAATGTTTTAACTTATTGAAACATTGTGAAGATAGAATAGAATACGATGACTCAGTATATCGAAATTTGACTAATTCTTACTCTTCAATTAACTTTATCGCTTTACTATTTATTTATGTAGATAATAAAAATCGCTTTATCATCATATGTGGAGCTAATTATTGGACTGACAGCTCGAACTTTTATGTTAGTTTATTCAAAATTTTCGATATTGCACTACAAACAAATTTTCCGAAATAAAATTCTAAGTCTAAAAATAATAAATTGATAGTAGAAATTCGGATAAAAATATATCTAGGTATTAACACAAGGGTTAAAGGTGTTTGGGCGCGGCGACGAAAGAAGAAGAAGCCAAGAATCTTTGAAAAACTCTCGAACGTCACTAAATGATAACACTTTATTTATCAACGTATAATTTTTTTTTATCCCGAACGTTTCGCCAATTTATCGGCTATTTTTCATTGCTTCTTCTTATCGACCACGCTCTGCTAATTTACAAGCAATTTCTCAGTCAACCTTTATCGGTTGATATTAGATCGATTAATTGAAACGAGCGAACGTTTTCCAAAATTCATCAATCGTTTACTCGTGTCTCTAGCGATTACAATTTAACCTTCCGTATTCCTGTTTCGTTTCTACTCTCGATATTATAACGGATTACTTTCGTAAACAATTTCAAAGTTCTCCCGTTTTCCTCTTTCCCTCTTTGCTTGCGTCAGAATTTCAATCGCTTTACCATCGATTTTAATGTTCATTTAATAAAGAACGCGCGCGCAAATCCGCATGATCGACGTAATTGAATATTCATTATAGATATAATTATAAAATTTCATACGGGTTTTTTTCTAAAAGAAAATTGAATAGTATTATAAAAATAATTGGAAACATATACTTAAGTTTTAAATACAAATTGATTTTTCTTACGGACGGAAATTTAAATTTGATTAATTTGAGTAATGGTAAAAATAATAAAAAATATCGAAGTTTCTTTTTTTATTCAATAATCGTGACAGGAATAGTATTTTAATATTGCTTTGAAAAATAATATAAACATATAATAATATATAGGAACAAATTTTCAACGCTTCCAATAATTTTTACGATTAATCCCATAGGTTAGTTTCTCTTTCACTTAACTTACAAATAAATAATACAAATAAATATACGAGTAATAAGAATATCTCTATTTTAAATCTAATCAAAATCTAAAATTCCTTTCAAAAAAGTCCAAAATCGAAATTTTTGAACTTCAATTACACGCAAACACCGGATTATGAAAACTCTGGTTCGCCATATTTAAAATGACGGGCGCTCTTGAATAAAACAAAGCGGTCGGTTGGGTTAGCCCAGGATCGGAGAGAAGGGTTCGGCTGTATTAAAGCCAGTCGCCTCGTCCACGTGCATCGATTCATTCGTCACGGTGCCCCGACCTATCCAACGTGTAACTCCAGGACTTCGCCGCGCTGTCTGCATCTGTATACGTGTGCGTATGCTAACCGCATCGCGTCACGTGTGCCACGATTATGTTTCGCTTGCGTATATTTCGCCCCGTTCTCTAGCTCTCTATGCACGGACGACTCTGTCGGTAAGCGTGTTGGTAGGCGACGCCTGTGTGACGATATCGATGGAGCACGAGATGCATGGAGCGAGAGTATGAGAAAACCTTCCTGACTCTTCTGACTCTGGAAAAGGAGAGCTGCGGTGAAACCAGTTCGAAATATTTCGCAGACGATCCCCTCTGCCCTGTACGTATCCGAGACACGCAACGCATCAGACTGTTTCAAGACAATGATAAAAACCTCCGAATCGAAGGAACTTTCACGGAAAGTTCAGATAATGTATAACATGTATCAAATTGATTAATTTTAGATTTTTTTATTTTATTATCAAGAATGCGTTCTTGACGAAATTAATATTGATTTATAACATATTATGATCTTTAAAAGTTCTTCAGTAATATTCTGGAAATTTAAGGAAAAAAAAAAAAAAACATTTTTCATTGAAAATATAAGAAAAATTTATTACGTTTAGTTTGATCTTTGTTCTTTATCTTTTAAGGAAAATAAAATTAGATGGATCATGTGTAACGAAATTGAATATAAGTTGAATATTCTTTGTTTTGTCAGTTCTCATAAGTCATATGATGTGAAATGGATAT